TTAAATGACTGTAAGATGCCTACCTAAGACATGAGGAGGGCTGCACTTTCGTTTACGTCCTACACTCATTCGAATGAAAATATTGATCGATATAAGTTATCGATTATTCCATTCGATATATCAAGTTTGGTAAGTTAACTACGTTAGGCTAACCGAATGAAATACAGTAATCGATATAATCGAATAATTTATATCTTAGGCCTATCAATATTTTTCATTCGAATTAGTGTAGGATGTTTACTAAAGTGCAGCCAGGAGGAGTCTGTGTTTTGCAATCCGTTTCTGTGCCTAACTTAACTTAGGAAACTCCAGGTTAAATAGGCCTAGGGTGAATTAAGTTAGGTAGACCTAACTTATCTGTCTGCAGTCAAGTTTCTATAAAAAGCCTACTACATGCAGGGCAGGCCTTAGTTAGGTTTAAAGCATTAGTAGCTCATCTGAATCTATAAATAGTTTAAACTTATGTAACGAGTGTTCTAAAAGTCAGTTAACCTAAGAATTTCTCATTTAAGTTAAGGTAGTAGTCCCTAGGCATGGGTGGAGTTCCGCTAAAACCTGCGATATTTTATTAAATTAATAATAGGCTATATCAATTATGATTCGGTTCGATGAATTTTAATAACTTAGGTCTCAAGTGATCGGAGAGAAAAAACGTGAGCGAAGAGAATGTTTCGTGACCAAATAACTTATTTAGAGAGATTTGTTGTCATGATTACTTTCCAAAATCAAAAGTTACTCTGTAACAATTTTACCTCTGGGTTTTTTGATAAATACTAGGTTTAAAATACTCACTCACGTGATCAGAGAGAAAAACGTGAGCGAAGAGAATGTTTCGTGACCAAATAACTTATTTAGAGAGATTTGTTGTCATGATTACTTTCCAAAATCAAAAGATAATTTATTTTTGTTTTATAAAATTTACTACCCTATGTAACAATTTAACCTCTGGGTTAAAGTCACTTTGTAGTTCCCCTCTCTCACTCTGTAGTTCCCCTCGCTCACACTAATTCTCCTCGCTCACACCCAGTAAAAGCTCTGTTTATCAAAAAATATTTCTTTTTAAAACCTGTTTTCAATTTCAACGCAAGAACCAATGATCATTACACAGGTTTATTAGTTTTTTTTATGAATTAAATAAAAAAGTAGCTTTTATTCTAAAATTCAACTTCTGTTTTGGTGTATTTGGTAAAAAATGGAGGTTTTTTTGGATCAGCAACTATTACTTTTAATTAAATAACGTTTTTAAAATTTTTAATTGTTAGCTAAAGTTATAAACTTTTACTTAAAACTATAAATTTTACTATTTTTCTTTTTTTTCTTTATTTTTAAGGGGGGGGGAAACGTGAGCTGGGGGAAAAATGTATGACATCCTGAAAGAAAATTGTAAAATTTAACAAAAAATGTTAGAATTAAGCTCAGCCATCTTTGTTTTCTTATTAAGGGATATATTTCTTTTGATTTAATAAATAAATAATTGTAAAAAAAAATAATTTTTTGTTTTTTTTTCCGATCCCCAAATTTGCCTTGAATTTGAGAATGACCCATATGTTATAAGATGAAATATTCGTTTGATATAGCCTATAAGTTTAGGCTATAAAATATCGTAATGTAATCAGTTAATTTCTAGGTGATACAACTCACCTTAATCCATTTATCATGTAGGCCTAGGTCTCTTTCAATATTGGACAATTTATGCCTAACATATTTTTTAAGGATACTCTTTACACTGTGTAGCTTACTTTTTAGTTTATAATAGGCCTAATAACAAAGGTAGCATTTCTAAAAAACATCAATCTTTTGTGTAGGCTATGATTTGTTTTTAAAAAGACATTGGCTACGGTAAGTTAACTTTGATCTTTTTCATGAGTTTATAAAAAGGTGCCTAACATAACTATAAATTGGTTCAATAATAACTTAACTATCGTATCAAATTTGAGTTAATCTTAAGATACCATATGATATAAATAAAAAAATAACAAAAAACATTAAAGAAGCATTTAATTTTTTATCCTTAGTTGTTTTGTTATTAGGTGGCCTCGGCCTATTTGTTTTGTTTCCTTTGGTAAATTATAGTCCTAGACAGTAGTTTAATTTATGAAATATAAACAAAAACCGAACAAGCCATTAATCAATTTTATGTTTAGGCTACATCGGGGAAAAATAAAGAATATTTTTTAATACCTACAAAAATTAATCGGATAAATACCAATATGTAATGTAAAGTATTTTTCCGAAAAAAATACTTCACTGCAATTATTTAGTATGTCATCAATGGGATATGATGTACTTTTTAGATGTTTAATTACAGTTTCTTTCACGCTGAATCCAAAAAAGCAATTGGTTTTTGTCGGTGAGATTCCTAAGTGGCTGTAAAAAGAAGGTTAAAATTACAAATCTGAGGTTTATTTAGCGGTTCGGATGATAATATAAAATCAGAAATCAGAAATATTTATTTGTCATTGGACATTACAAAAATGCATTGACAATTGACATGTGTATATATTATGGCTACAGTCAGGCTAGACATTACAACTAACATGTCCAATATGTTAATTTTTTTGGTGTCAGCTCTGTGGATTACCAACAGTATGGAATGTGATTTAACAATCAATACATTTTGTAAATAAATATGAAAATTTAACAAAGAATAAATTATATGAACCAACAACAAAATACAGATGGCGTGGGCTGGACGGATCCGTATGTGTTATTGTCTGAAAGTTTTGTTGTAATTTGTAATACAAAACCTGAAGAACCCTTCATAGTTCGCTTGCTACAGTAAGTAGTTGTAGCTTAGTAACAACTCCGTTACTAAGCAGAGTAGAGCAATTAATGTTTTTGGTACTGTACAACATTGAAATACATTCAACTTATTTGGCCATGTATCACACACAATTTATTTGTGCATCATAGAATACGTTAGGTTAAAAAAATATATTCATAATTTATTATTAATTTAAAGAAGTGATACTCAGCCCATGATTTTTAATCACTCTTACACATGATTACAGGACCACCGTGAGGGGGGGGCTAATTAAGGGGGCAAATGCCCAGGGGCACGGGCCCTACGATGGACAATTCTTAGTGTCAAACTGACCCCAGTTACTTTTTGCTTCGGGGCTATAACAATTATTACTTTGTGAATTAACAGGTCCAAGGTTTAGATTAACATCCCCAGTCAGAAACATAACAAACACCACTGACGTTATAATTTATGATAGAGAAAAGTAGAGCTCATGCTATTTATATTTGATTTTTGGATAGATATATGCGGCATTAGAATTATTTATAAAAAAGAGCATTACGCCCGTAGTAAAAAAATCGCAGTTAGTCTGGCCACTGCCACCGCACAAACTTGCGGCGCGCCGCGCCGCAGGGGCAGGGTAAGCGGTGAGGGGCCAAAGACAGATTATTATGTACATGGAATTGTCTTCGTTCATTCTCATACGCGACTTCGGAGCGTACTCCTAGTCTTTATCTGAAGAATATCTTATAGGCTATTTGTTATTATGAAAAACATAGGCCATACATAAAATCTATAGATGCAGGCCAGCTTGTATTCAAACTTTGCAGCTTACCTTAACAAAATTAAACTGAGTTTGATAAGATGATACGCATTTTATATCAAAATTTAATTTGTAGCCTACAGACATAACTTATTTCTTAGTTTCCACCCACAAGGCACACGTACGTATTCTCACCAGATCGATCCTTCCTAATCTAACAATTATTAAAATAATTTTAAACCTTTTACAATTTTCCCTGACTTAAATGACAAAATTTCCTGACTTTTCCAGATCTATATAATTAATACGCTACACGAAAGTTTGTCGGTTGAACTCCTCCGCCATTTCTTAACCGATTTTATCCATTGACGTCTCATTGGAAAGAGCGTGTCGCGTAGATTTGCAAACTGGCCTTACATTTTTGAAAAAGTCCCTTGGGCTCTGCCCCAGTGGCTTTGAAAGTTCCCATGTTATCCTTATGAAGAACATAATTGTTTACATTTTGATCAGCTGTATAATTGTATTGCTGTTATTTACTTTTTAATTCAATGAAACACATTGAGTACATTTATTTACTATTTGAGTTTGTGTAAACATAACCCCCAAGACGGATCGTGTTAGTATGGTTGTATCTTAAATTTGTGTATTTATCGTTGTTTTGTGTTGCTATGATGGATTGTGTTAGCATGATTGTAACTTAAATTTGTGCATTTATCGTTGTTTTGTGTAGCTATAATTTGTTTATTATTTGTTGTTTATTTCTTTTAAATGTCTCTGACGCACTGACAACGAAACATAGACAGGAAGCGCAATCGTGATAACGACCGCAGCTACAGAACAGTGGCGCGTAAAAGGCTTTACTCATCACAGTCTGAACCTGAACCTGGACACTATTAGGTTACAAATGCGCCCTAACACTACCCCAAAACGACTTTTCGTTCTCAATTGGCCCTCTATCAATGACCTGTGTTGCCTGGACAGCGAGGCATTTTGAGCAGAGAACCGTCCGGAATTAGGTTTATCAATAACGAAGATAAACAGGGTCTGAGTTACACAACGGTAATATTTGAGTTGATCTTTTAAACTCATTGTAAATATGACTGTTATTCAATCTTAAATAACTCCTGTAATACTTTGTTATTGCTCGAATTCGAGCAACATGTACACTAGTATTTAATATTCCCTGACATTTCCAGGTTTTCCAGGTCACTAGCCACCCTGCATTAAAGTTTTTAAATTGCTGTTATTTTGAAAATTTGATCAATAAAAATTGCAAAAACTTGTTTACTAGCTTACTTAACATCAAGACATAAGAATCAAATTGTCATTAAATTTATTTAGGCTAATCCTGAAAGTTATTAATTTTCAAAATTCAACAAAAAAAGTAGGTAGGGCCTAACACGTTTACTAACCAATTTCTGTGTCTGTAAGAATGAATCACAAGTTCAAAACTGATGCCTTCATCGGTTAGGAAAATATTTTTTTTCTACTCACTTGTAGACAATCGCAGCCTTCTGCCTCTTTCCTGACAACATCCAACACGGAGTCTACCAGCTCGGCTCCCTCTGTATAGTGCCCCTTGGCCCAGTTGTTTCCAGCCCCGCTCTGACCGAACACAAAATTGTCGGGACGAAAGATTTGTCCATACGGACCAGATCTCACAGAGTCCATTGTGCCAGGTTCCAAATCCACCAAAATGGCTCTTGGAACGTAATTTCCTCCGGACGCCTCATTGTAGTAGACGTTTATCCTCTCCAACTGAAGGTCTGAATCTCCTTCATACTTTCCTGTAGGCTGGATCCCATGTTCATCTGAGATAATTTCCCAAAACTGAAAAACAATTTTAAAATGTAATACAGGAATGTTTAAAGATAACTTAAGTTTACTTGATATTTCTGTACAGTTTAAATCATTGCCCAAGCTTATAAATTAACTTAGCAAAGTGGCAAAAATTACAGATTTTTGGGTACCGGTAGGCCAAAACAAAAAATCTCCACCTAACCTAACCCAACCTATGCTAAGGTTAGCAAGTTTGAGCCCTCAGGATAGGTTAACTTTTGTGGTTACACTTCCCTAATATGTAGCCTATCTAATGTAAAAAACAACCGAAAGAAAAATTATTCGATAAGTAAGTACCTATAACTTAAGTTATAAATTAGCCTATTTAAATCGATAAAGGCTAACCAAACCTAACTAACCAAACTATATAAGTTTATCAAATGAACTAGCCGGTAATTATTCCGACGTAGTGACTTACTCGCAAAAGTGAATTTTTTTCCATAATGACCCAAATTTCACGCTGAATCCGAAAATAAAGTTTTTATTTTTCGGAAAATACCGGAAATTACCAAAAAAAGGGAAAAACGGGAAAAATTTTTTTTACTCAAAATACGTCATGTGGGTACTCAAAATATGCGGAATATTGTGTAGATTAAGAATATGCAAGAATTTTTTGGATCCAATATGGATGCATATTCTTAATCTAAGTACACAATATATTCCGCATAATTATTTTGAGTACCTACCCACATGACGTAGGTAACTTATTTTGAGTAAAAAAAAAATTTTCCCGTTTTCCCCTTTTTTCAGTAATTTCCAGCATTTTCCGAAAAATAAAAACGCCATTTTCGGATTCAGCGTGAAATTTAGGTCATTATGGAAAAACAAATTTCACTTTTGCGAGTAGTCACTACGTCGGAATAATTACCAAATAGCCTAATCGATATATCGATTGATATTTTCATTCGGTTTTTTTTTTACAACAGATATGCCTATGGAAGTCTAAGTTACCCATAGGATAACTTATATATGTAAGTTAGCCGAGCCAAAGTATTAAAAAAAATTTCATAAAAAGGTTCAATGATTTTTAACACTTTTTCAGGGTGAACTAAACTTAGGCGTTTGCCCCAAAAGTGCCAGGGGAAAGAAAGTGTTCAAAGTAAATAGACCAACTTAAATAATATAATAGAATACAAATATATTTTTCAAAATTCGTCCCCTAGACTAAAAATGTACATAGCATCATCGATTGTTCTTAACACGTTGGGTGCTGATGACGGGAATTCCCGCAATTGCTTAGCATTGAAATAAATGCAACTTTTATGTTCAAACATGTCGACAGCACAAATAGTGTTAATCACGCACGACCCTCCTTAAGTTAATTTCCTTGAACATCACAAAATACCCAATAATAGAACTTTGTGATCTGCGATTTTAATATCTTCAATAACTTATAAACGTGTTACAATTTTAGTTTATTAGACTAGGCTATAGAAAATAATTCGAACATACTTTTGATCCTATTTGGTTCCCGCATTGTCCAGCTTGAAGGTGAACGATTTCCCTCATGATTTGGATTTATGGTAGTTTTCCTTTGGAGTTTTAGTTACACGTGGTTACACGCAAGAAAAATCTACGACACAAATAATTCAATCAAACACAAAATGGGTCAGTCTCTTTGGGAAACCTTTGAAAGCTTCGACAAATGCGGCAGGTAGGGCAAGGACACTGTTGCACCCAACGCCGACAAGCAAGACAGAGACAGGACAGCCAGATTGGATTGACAGACCGCACGAACGAACTCACGACACGATTCACGAACCAGTGTTGCCACCGCGTTGTTGCGATTTTACCCTAAAGGCGGGCTAAAATTACCCTAAATTACCCTAAATCTACTTTGAGTTACCCTAAAAATTACCCTAAATGTTAATATTTGCGTTTAATGCTATAAAACATTGTTAAAATCATATAAATCTTACATAAGGTGGTTAATTATACTAAATGAAGTTCCAATATCAATCAATTTTACGTCAAATTATTCTCGATTCTAAAACACCACCCGAAAGAAGAACAAAATGCTGATATTGATCAGCTCTATCGACTATCGTATAACGAAAAATATCGAATCAAGAATTATCGTATTTTTTTACTGTATCGACCCATTACTACTGTTTTTGGTCAATCATATCTTTAAAATACAGTACGGTACCACCAAAGCTTAAATCTATACATAGTACAAATTTCTTGACACAATTTGTAAAATAATCCAGTTTAAATCAATTCAATCACATAATTAAATATCAAACCCAGTAACGAATAATATTTCATATTTTATTAGGCCTATAACGTGTTATAGAATCGAATACATTCTAAAATAGATAATTCCCATTAAGATCGATTAGGATAACTTATTATGAAAAATTCATTATAGCAATCGATTTAAACCGGTCGAATCGAATATGGTGGTTTGGCCATAGTATGTAAAGAACGTTTTCCTACAGTTACCTAACAATGTACATGTTCTCTCACTGATTTGAGAAAGCAAAGTGGCCAATTCGCTCATCAGTGAGACAATGTTAACATTGTCTCACTCTAATTACTTTGTCTCACTCCAGATTTGCAACGTGAAGGCACGAAATAGTGAGCGCGTAACATGCAGACAAGGTCGCATGCGCGCGAAATACGTTGGCAGCACTGGCTGTAAATCAGCTGGTCAGCTGTTGTACTGTTGCATTTGTCACTTCGCATTAAATGTTATGTTAAAAGTTCACTTCTGTGTAAAAATAGGTTATGTTTCTTCACCAATTTATGTGTTTTATGGTAACTGTAGGAAAAGTATAATGTGCAACTCGAGTTCAAAGTACAATTGCCTCACTCGAGAAACCATTCCTCACTCGCCTACGGCTCGTGAGTAAGGATTTCTCTCGAGTGAGTCAATTGCTCACTTTTCTCACTAGTTGCACAAATAACTATTTTTGCCAAATTTTTAAGTTTTTTCATTTTTTTAGTAAAATTTCCATTGTTATGCTAACTTTTAGTTTTACCCTAAAATTACCCTAAATCTACCATTACCCTAAACTTTACCCTAAGACCAGTAAATTACCCTAAAAAAGGGTAATTACCCTAAAAGTGGCAACACTGTCACGAACACAACACAACCGGAAGAGAGGCGAGGCCGAGGGATGAGGAGGAGGGAGGGAAAAAGACTGCACCGCGGCGCGAGGCACAGCTGTTTTTGTCTGCATTGCGCGACCACAAAAAAGTGTCCATTAGTCTCAGTCTTTTGAACAATTTATGAAGCTGATCAGCTGGCTTGGAGAGAGACGTCTGACATCGTAGATTAAACGTACTCCTTAAAAGAGATTATATATTGTAGAATAATTCCTATCCTTTTAATAGTGACATTTTAGTAAAAATCTATGATTTTAAATTACTACGATGAATGCAACACTTAAATACAATTATACATTTTTAGGTTTATCCTACTTACGTTTAGGATTAGAATGTTTGCTTTACAATACCACAGTAAGCCCAAAAATATATGAATGCAATACTATACTATACTTTTAATACTATAATTTGAAATGGCGACCATACAAAGTAGGTATTTTAAGCCAAGCATGAATGAAGATGAGTATGGGATGAGTGGCACGATGTTGTAGCCTTGTTAGTGATGACTAAGGCCGACATATTCCTTAGACACAGCTGTTAATTATAGTCCATTATATATCCATTATAATTATAGTGGAATCCGAACCACATTTTTGCTTTGGTATGAACGAATTGGTCTAATAATTATCAGGATAGTACTGCAGATACCGGTAGTCGTAGTACTTACTGGTGCGGACGTTAATCCACACCAGTAAGTATCGCATCCACAGTGCATGCCTATAAATATCCACAATTGGTGACCTACTAGTAGCTGGATTACAGGACGACGCCACCGTCTAAGGCCCCAATAGAAAAATTTTTCTAGTGGGGCCTTGCACCGTCCTAGTCTGTATGTCCGTTCTATAGCAATAACATTTTTAATGATACTGTATTTCCGAGAGAAGCGGATTTGTGTTATTGAAAATAATTAACGATTGATTTATACCAATTCATATCGTAATATTTTATACATTTATTAATGTAATCTAAAACAACCCCCTAATAAAACGTAACCCAACTAGTGCCCTAAACACGTGCAAAGTGCTCGGAAAAACTAACTTAGGTTTGCATGAGAACTGTTATGTTATTATGTCAGAAATTTGTGTACACCGAAATGTTTTCAACTAACAAGTAGTCATTAAAAAATATTACCTGTTTAAGCCCCCCACACACTACCAGACCAGACCTCCAGACCAGACCGTCTGGTCTGGCGTCTGGCACTTGTCTTATCGTGTGTGGGGCTGTCTGCAGACCGATTTTCTCGGACCAGACTGTCTGCGTGTCTGAAGCCCCCCACACACTACCAGACCAGACCTCCAGACCAGACCGTCTGGTCTGGCGTCTGGCACTTGTCTTATCGTGTGTGGGGCTGTCTGCAGACCGATTTTCTCGGACCAGACTGTCTACGTGTCTGATGGTTGAACCCTCAGACCACAGACGGTCTGAGGTTCCCCCACCACTATTTTTGTCTGGTCTGTGAGTGTGTAGCGCTGTCTGTCAGACGGCCGACCATCGTGACAATCTTCATCCATTTGTTGGAGTTCTCACCACGGTCTCTCAATTACGAATTAGGACCGTCTGGTCTGGGAGTGTGTAGAGCCGTCCAAGACGGTCTGGTTGCAGCCAGACGGTCTGGTCTGGAGGTCTGGTCTGGTAGTGTGTGGGGGGCTTTATGGTTGAACCTTCAGACCACAGACGGTCTGAGGTTCCCCCACCACTATTTTTGTCTGGTCTGTGAGTGTGTAGCGCTGTCTGTCAGACGGCCGACCATCGTGACAGTCTTCATCCATTTGTTGGAGTTCTCACCACGGTCTCTCAATTACGAATTAGGACCGTCTGGTCTGGGAGTGTGTAGAGCCGTCCAAGACGGTCTGGTTGCAGCCAGACGGTCTGGTCTGGAGGTCTGGTCTGGTAGTGTGTGGGGGGCTTTACTAAACTAACCTAATGTTATAGTTGAAACAAAAAGATATCATGTTTCAAAAATATGTAAAAAATTTAAAAAGCATAGATTTTTTAATTATAGTTTCCTGAATGGACTATAATATGTTATCTTCCTCCTGCTATGTTATCCTAATGGGACTTCTGACACTTAACAAACCGTGAAACAACCCTATTTGCGACCATGGTGGAAGACTTACGACGTTGCCAATTCTCCAGGCCGCGACCTGGTAGTTAGAGGTGGCCGTGCTTTGGGTCGGCTTCAGCCACTCCACTACCATCAGATCAGGATCAGAGCAGAGAAGAAAAAATTGAAAAGAAAAAGAAATAAAGCCGCCCATGGTGCCCATTTTATCACCAACACAGTGTTGACATTTTTTCGTAGCCATATCGACCAATCGATTGTAAACCGACCGAACAGATCGTTTTCGATAACCAAACCAGTGATCAACGTTGACAACCAACCATCGAGACCGTTTTCTGCTGATGTCCCGCCAAGCCAAGCAAGAGCAAAGCCAAAGCCAATCCTCGCCTCCTAAATTGCACACCTATCATAAAAAATATTTCTTGGGCTAGCCTAAGTTATTATTAGCACATCCAAAATATATGACTTATGATTCTGAATTGTTATGTGTGTATATTCACTTTGCTGTTGGGTGGGATTGTTCAGTTAGTGAGGTCCTACATCTGACACTGTTGTGTATCGAAATATTTATTTAGCACATTTTTGAGTCAAGATGGACTATTTATTATTTATTTTGTATCGAGAGTGACATAGCCTATTGCATTGCTTAAAGGCCAAATAAATAATTGAAGCAAGTTAGGCCTAATTAAATAAACACCGAGATGGTTCATTAGAACGTATAGGCCTATCGTAAACGGTTTTAACTTTAAAACTTTCTATGAACTAATATATAACAATAATGATAGGTAATTATCAGTTTTATCAGGTTCGTTCCAGCCAGCGTGTGAATTATTGAAATATGCAATATATTAATCACCCTTGTGGCTGGAAAATGCTTTAAAATAATAGGCTGCTACTACGAAAAGACAAAAGTAGCCTAGTAATGTGATACAGACTTTCACTTGCTTTATTTTAGCTAGCTTGTGGGTAAGGGTGTAAAAGAGGACTGGTACAACACAATAAATTAAATAGTTCCTTCTCTTGAGTTTCGAGTCAAACTACCCCGTCGTATTTTGCTTCCTACTTGGTGTTTAAGGTCAAAAGATTCTTAGTTGTCAAATCATTATTTTAAAAGGTTAGGTATACCCAAGACGCGTTATTTAAGTTAAATATAAGTTAATAGGGATAAAAGGCAGACTAACATTCCGGCGTTAGTATTAAATTAAATATTAATAATTCATAATTTTTGTTTATTTTCATAAGTCCTTTTAGTGTGTTTTAATCGATAATCGATAGCAAGTGATGGTCGATATGACTACAAACGATATTGAACCGATATTTTGTCAACACTGTGGGGGTGATAAAATGGTCACCGCCGCGCATGGCCGTTGACTGGCGAGCCTTTCAAGACCGGAAAATGCCGCGCTTCTGCGCATGCGCTAGTAACTGGTGGCGTAGCAGCAGCTATTTCAGAAAGTCACGGTCACTACGTACCGTCACTACTCACTAAAGCACGGGTCACACTAGGCTGTTCGCCAGCCGCTGGTGATCAGCAGCTGGCACCAGCATCACCGGCTCACCAATCCAGGCTGAGTCAGCTCAGTGTCAGCTGCGAATTTTGTGGTCACATTAAGCTGACAGTCGCGGCTTCTTTCAATTCGCCGCTGATGCCAGCCTAGTGTGACCCGTGCTTAACTATGTTGTCGTAGTATTTATCTTGACTGCACTGCAACTGCAAGCAACTAGTTCCTCATAATTATTATTCATATCGTTTGTTATTCTTTGTTATGATCAAGCTATGTCTGAGTTGAAGTTGGGGTTAATGTTATTGATAGATTTTGATTGCTGCTGTGTTGCGGAGGTCATTTACTATCGATGATGTGCTTCTTCTTCAATGCGAAGATTCTGAGAAATACGAGTAATGGAAGACATCAATAACACTGGAGTACTTTGTAGTTTATGTGGAAAAGTTTATTTTCCTACAGTCACCCGACAAAGTTGGCTTCCTTGTACTGTTTATAGTACAGAAAGCTGCTAATTGCTGCATATTTTTACTTTGCCGTACGGTTTATACTTTGTCGTACGGTTTATACTTTGCCGCACATCAGGATTCCAACGAAACAACACAAAACAGCGTGGTTCTATTATGCACGTAATCCGTGTACGCTTGGAAATAGGTTGGCAACACGATAATACTATGAGCAGCTGATAGACTATTATAACTAAGATTTAACCTGTCATTTCGTGTTTATACTTTCGGTATTTCTGAACTTTCTGGACTTTTGTTTTAAACGTTTTAAAACATTCCTACGATCTTAATAAAAAAGAAAATACATTTAAAGCATTTTTTTAGCCGCGTAAACCACTTCATATTACAAAAACATACGGAACTATATTCTCAAAACGCGAAGCACATTTCTTGCCGAGGAAAAATAGCGGAGTGATACGGATTGCGGGTAAGTAGTATCCTCTAGGGCACCATTTGTGTTGCCAGCTGAACCTAAAAACGTGTTGTATAGTGTTTGAAAGACTAATTATTTATATGCTTTATAGTGACTGTAGGAAAAATATAATGTGTAACACGAGTGTAAAAGGCCTTTGCTGCACTCGAGATCATTCCGCACTCGCCTGCGGCTCGTGCGTAAACATTGCTCTCGTGTGCAGCAAAGTGCCACTTTCACCACTAGTTACACAAATAACTATTTTAGTTCATGGACGAGAAGTACAGAAGGATTCCAATTAATAAGCCAGCTATGTTCAACAAGGCAAGGCCAATAATGGTTTTATTCACTAGCGCTTTTGAATGGAAACCTAGTTTCTGAAAGCGCTAGTGAATAAAATAAATTATTATGTATTAGCGTTGTTGAACATTTACATTTCATTATAAGCAAGATGCCAATAATTCTCAAAAAGCTTAGACCATTAAAAATGAAATGAGAATTGGGATCTTCTCTTTTGGAAAACATGTTTGGGTACAATTGAAGATACTGTAGATGAATAGATGATAACGGTAGAACGTAGCCCACCCAAGTTACTTAAAATTTATTTTATAAAATAAAAGAGGTGCCAGAGGTTACAGTAAGTAAAGTAACACATACATAAACATAACCTGTAAAATTCTTCATTCAGTTACAGTAATTAAATGGTTTGGAGTTAAGTGCGGGAGAACCGTTCCAGTTTCAAGTAGATTGTTGCAAGAGTTGCAGTGAAGATACTAGTGTGATTTTCTGAAACAGCTGCAGCTGTTACAAGTGCGAATAACGCTTAATTGCGCATGCGCAGACGCGCGGCATTTTCCGGTCTTGAAAGGCTCGCGTTGACTGACACTTGACATAACAACCTAACATAACATACCAATCTTGACACTTAACTTGAAATTAATTAACAGTTAACTCTAAACATCACTTCTTGGTTATATGAGTAAATGCTACATATTGTCATACAAGTCTTTAAGTTATCTTTTAACGCAAGCTGGAGGGTCTTATTGTTAGTTTCATGTTAATTACAAGAGTGTTAGTGTAGTATGTCTAAAAGAGGTTATGTTGTCTACTGTCTACTTGTTGAGACTAATGTAAGTAAAAGAAGCAGTGTTTTCTTATAGTTTGGGAATTTCTGTCAACGGATAACTTAGTAATTCGGGTAGGCCTACACTTCCGTATCTGTTGGCACAAACAACCGAATGCAAATATCGATTGATATATCGATTATTCGATGTATCTTGGTTAGTTAGGTAAGGTTAACCTAACCTAACTAACCAAACGATAAGTACCTATATCGAATTAATAAATTATAGCCTACTCATTCGATTGTTTGTGCCAACAGATATGGAAGTGTACCCAGTAATTAAAATAACCCCGCCGCAGCAAACCTGCCGGAACCAAGCGAATTTCCATTTGTCTGAATTTATTTTTAATTAAATTGATTAAAATAACATTAGGCTTAACGAGTACCTAGGTTTGCTGCTACAAGGAAACTAATAAATTGGGGGTTTTATTAAAATTATAACACTTGGTCAGTTTTATAGATTAGTATAAAATGAATAAATTTGCCAAGTTTTATCAAACTAGGCAAATACATATGTGTTGAGGTAAGTTAACTTAATCTTAGTTCTGGGCATACCAGGTCCGTGAAGTTGGCGTACCCATATTAGCGTATCCACTATTGATCATACCAATCGTTAGTTCATCGTTAGTTCTCGATAGTTCCCAAATTTTTTCGTTAGTTCTCAAAAAATAAAAAAGTTATAGCCGATTATAAGTGGGTACGCTAACTTCACACTTCCGGGTTCTAGCACGCGCCATTTTCTGAGGAGAAATGTTTACATCTATATATCAATCGTTAGTTCTTCGTTAGTCCTCGATAGTTCCCAAATTTTTTCGTTAGTTCTCAAAAAATAAAAAAGTTATGAGGCATACAAAGTGGTTACGCTAACTTCACAACTGTACAATTTCCAGCGGGAACAGTTTTTTTACTATAAATGCCTATATCTATATACCAATCGTTAGTTCTCGATAGTTCTCCAATATTTACGTTAGTTCTGAAAAAATAAAAAAGTTATGAGGCATACAAAGTGGCTAACTTCACAATTGTACAATTTTCAGCGGGCACAGTTTTTTTACTATAAATGCCTATATCTATATACCAATCGTTAGTTCTTCGTTAGTTCTCGATAGTTCTCCAATATTTACGTTAGTTCTCAAAAAATAAAAAAGTTATGAGGCATACAAAGTGGGTACGCTAACTTCACAACTGTACAATTTCCAGCGGGCACAGTTTTTTTACTATAAATGCCTATATCTGTATACCAATCGTTAGTTCTTCGTTAGTTCTCGATAGTTCTCCAATATTTACGTTAGTTCTAAAAAAATAAAAAAGTTACGAGGCATACAAAGTGGGTACGCTAACTTCACAATTGTACAATTTTCAGCGGGCACAGTTTTTTTACTATAGCCTAAATGCCTATATCTATATACCAATCGTTAGTTCTTCGTTAGTTCTCGATAGTTCTCCAATATTTACGTTAGTTCTCAAAAAATAAAAAAGTTACGAGGCATACAAAGTGGGTACGCTAACTTCACAATTATACAATTTCCAGCGGGCACAGTTTTCTGAATAAAAATGCTTATACCTATATACCAATCGTTAGTTATTCGTTAGTTCTCGATAGTTCTCCAATATTTACGTTAGTTCTCAAAAAATTAAAAAGTTATGAGGCATAAAAAGTGAGTACGCTGACTTCACAATTATACAAGTTTCAATCAACTACTGAAGACCAATTAAGTACGTTAAATTTAACATACACATTTCAGAGTGATTTTCAACTTTTCCTAAGCCGTGTCAAACGCCATTCCAAGTTCTTCCGTCAACAAAATAAGCTGTCTCCAGACATGCGCCACTCCCAAAACACGACATATTTGCCGTTCGACGATCTAGCTGATTCAAGATTCAAGATTCAAATAGTCTTTATTCAATATATAACATATATGAAACATACATGTATCTGAATAGAGTCAAAATCTATATACAAATCATACACATTAAAACATAAATCTACACAAATGTCCATTATGAAAACTAAATGGAAATTCAAATGAAATATTTTGTTTTATCTACAAATTCTTGTAATGAATAAAAAGGATTTTTTACTAAGAAATCTTTTAAAAGTTTTTTGAATTTTTTGAAATTTGTTTCCTGCCGGATGTTTATTGGTAAATATTGTAACAATTTCAATCCTGCATAGGTGGTTTTCTTTGTATAATATTCTAATTTATGCTGAGGCAATCTAATTTTTAACCTAGTATTATAGTTATGCCCGGGATTGGAGGGTGTTGTTAGTTCCCTTTGTTTCAAAAAGATTATGGTTTCAAGAATATATAAATTATACACAGTTAAAATGTCCAATTTACGAAAAAGATTCTTCACTGAGATGGTTTTCCGTAATTTCATAATAGTGCGAATTGCTCTTTTTTGCTGTTTAAGTACTCTATCAAGATTTGATTTTGTTGTTCCACCATAGACTGTGATTCCATATGAAATGTGGGATTGAACTAATGAATAATAAATAATTTTTAAAGTTTCCAAATCACAGACTCTGGACATCTGTCTCAGAGCATAGATACCAGAAGATAATTTGTTTACTAAGTGATTGATGTGATCATCCCATGAGAGATTTTCATCAATGATTAAACCAAGAAATTTAGTTAGGCCCACTTGATCTATTCTATCTGATTTTAAGAAAATATTTGGCTTGAATTTGACTTTTGATTGTTTGGTTGAAAATGATATTAGGTTTGTTTTCTTTTTATTTACTAATAGATTTTTTTGATCAAGGAACTCATGGATAAACTGAACTGTTTTATTTAAAGATTTTTCAACATAATCATGTGACTTTCCTGAAAACAGAATATTACAGTCATCAGCATACAGACACATTGATGCATCGGGCCCAGGGATCATCTCCGGCATGCCTCTTATATAGCAAAGAAAGAGCAGAGGGCCTAAGATTGACCCCTGGGGAACCCCGTAACGCAGTATCTGACACTGAGACCTGGATTTTTCAAGGTATCGAGCCCTATCACTCTCGACAATATAATCAACTTCAACAAACTGTTCTCTGCTGTCTAAATATGAAGAAAACCATCTCAGCTCCTTACCACAAACTCCCAACTCCTCCAATTTAGCTAATAACTTGCAGTGTGATACACTGTCAAAAGCCCTACTAAGATCTAGAAATACTCCAATGACATTTTCACCTTTGTCTATTGCATTTATGATGGATTCAATAAATTCAACGGCGGCAGTAATTGTGGATTTACCAGATCGAAACCCATGTTGTTCCCTATCTAGCAAATTGTTTATTTCAAGAAAATTAGAAAATTGGTTATATACGATACGTTCAAAGATTTTTGAAAAAAACTGGTAATAATGAAACAGGGCGATAACATGCTGGATCTGTACTATTGCCACTCTTAAAAATAGGAATTACTTTAGCCAATTTTAATTTAGAAGGAAAAATACCAGAAATAAGAGAAGAATTTATTAAGTGAGTCAATGGTTTACGAATAAAAATTATAGATTTTTTAACAATTGTGATGGGTATCTCATCATACCCTGAGGAAAATTTGTTTTCAAAAGAAAGAACAGTTTTCTCAAGATAATCCTCTGTTATTGTTTGAAATTTAAAGATTTTATTTGGAGCTTTATGTTGAGTATTACAATTTTGTAAAGATTGCTGAGAAACAGAGGGCAAAATTAGTTTTTCCACAGCAGAAGCAAAAAAGGTGTTTAAAATATTGCTCACAGCAATTGGATGTGTTATGATTTTTTCATTTTGAGACATGCTAATGTTGGTGTTAGAATTTTTCTTTGAGTTTAATTTTATTTCTTTTTTAATTATATTCCATGTCATTTTAGTTTTGTTTGTTGCACTTTTTATTTTCCCATTGTAAAATGTTTGTTTTGATTTAAGTATTGATTCTTTTAAGTCATTTTTGCAGATTTTCAACTTTCTATTTAACTCTTTTGTTTTTTGCACTTTGCTTAATTCTTCCAAATCCGTGAGGTGCCTTTTTTTCTCTAATATTTCATTTGACTTCCATACACAATTCCTGGTTCCCTTATCAACACTAACAATCTTTGGAAAATTCAAGTCAAACAAGTACTTAAAAATAGAAATAAAAACATCATATTTTTTATCCACAGGGGACTGAAAAACCTCAAACCAGGTTTCCTCATTTAAGTCGTTTAAGAATACAGATAAGTTATTTTCATTAAATTTTCTACATCTCCTCTTAACTACTTTATTAGTTACACGTTTTTTAACATTTAAAATCTCAAGAAGCTGAGCATCGTGATCGGAAATATGAGTAATAATCCCTGTTACTTTCATCTGTTTGGATTCTAAATTAGTAATAAAATTGTCAATTGCTGTAGAACTTATTTCATTTACCCTTGTTGGAAAATCAACCAGGTAGGACATATTAAACATTGAAATAGTGCTGATAAAATTGTAGTACAAAGAGTCATGTTTTAAAACATTAATATTTATATCTCCTGCTAAAATTATATTTTCATATTTACTTGTTAATATGTCCAGTAAAATTTCCAGCTTATCTAAAAAAATATCATTGTATTTATAATTAGGTGATCTATATAAACAAATTAATACAAAAGAAAAGGCATCTACGGTTACTTCAACCATACAACACTCAAACTCCTTCTCCAATGTTAATTCTTGAGCTCTTTTAATTAATAATTTTTTATTTTTTATAAATTTGCTTGTTAGAATCATGACACCTCCACCTGTGGTTGTTGACCTGGTCCAGTATGAGGATATATTATAATTATTGAAATTTAAGTATTGTATTTCTTCTTCACGCATATTTATTTCTGTCAAAACAACTATATCTGGTTTTATTTCATCAAGGTTAATTTCTAAAATGCCAATGCGTGTCGGTAAATTTTGAACATTTTGATGGAAAATTGAGAGGTTTTGAGTGCTGTATAAATTATAGCTCATGTTATCATCACATTTTTTAACACTTTCTCCAAAAAAGGTTTAATATGTTTGCC